CGTCTCCAGAAGCCTTCTTCTCAGCTGTCCTCTGCATCACATTGCTCTTTTTAACTCCGTGCCTCTTCTCATTTCGGCCTGTCCTTTTTTCCCTTCTCTTTATCCCCTTTTATCACCCTGCCTTTCCGTGTTCCCAGTCTTTCTCTGTGATGTCTGCATCGTCCTTCCTCACTGCTCTAACTCCTACTTGTCCTAAATGAAGTTAGTGATCAGTTGACTGCCCCTATCATTGGTAGAGAGCAGGTTGGTCCTCCCCTCCCAGGAGGGGGCTACATTGTCTGTAGTGGTTGACTGGTGTAATCCTCCTAACAGGGACAAAGGGCACCACCTTCACTACTTCAGCCACCTTTGAAGTGGCATTAGCCCCCTGAGGAGAACCATAGGCTACCCCTTATCCTGCTTTCCTGGAAACCCAGCATCACAACTTCAGTTCTTTGCTTCTAAACTTGTGCTGCTGGGATTAAATCCAGGTTTCTGTAAGCTAACAGGATATGATAAGAATTAACTGTTCAAGTTTAGCCATAAACTAAACTTTCACTTAAAAATCTTCTTTATAAAAGTGTTAATACGCTTTGAACTGTTCACATTTTGCCACATAATTCTTAATGTATTCTATTTGGCTTTTTTAATATAACAATATACAAAAGTATGTAATTGATAGAGAGGAATACCATTTTTTGCTTCTTTTTTTTAGAAAATAGCTGAAGCTCAGTTATACTGAATAGAGAAATTCTCTAATAAATACAATTTAGATCTAAGATATTTCAATATAGTTTGATCCAGACTAGGGCTGAAACAATTAATCATAATTAATCGATTATTGAAATAATTGTCACCTAATCTAGTAATCGAATAAGCATTAACTGGAGTACAGAGACTCTAAAACGTGTATTTAGCTGATAGACAGACCCACTTAGAGCACTAATTATACCAAAATTGTAACAAAAAAATTTTGCATTTCAGAAAAAAACATTTTTTTCTGTCAATATTCTCTATCCAGAACTCCTTGAGTGGAAAAGTTTTAGTTTCACTTGATTTAATTTGTAAAAAGCCTTCTTTAAAGAACCTTTTGCTATCCAATTATTCAATTCAATTCAGTTAATTTCTATAGCGCCGATTCACAACACATGTCATCTCAAGGCACTTTCCAGTTCACCAGATCATACAGTCAAATTGATTCAAAGTTTTCTATCTAAGGAAAACCAGTTGATTGCGTCGACTTATTGTCTCAAATGCAATCCCTCATGCTTGTAGTGACAGTTGAGAGGAATCGATTCATCGAAAAAATAATCAACAGAATTCAATTTGCCAAGTAATCATTAGTTGCAGCCATAATCCAGACCATTAGGTGCATTTCCATCAGCTTTTTCTACCAGGCATGTGGAAGTATCGCATGAGAAGAACTTTTTACGTTCACTGAGGTGGTTTTTGATGGAAACAGTCTGATCGGCTTGTCTACATCCCAATCCTACCAAATCATATTATTGTCTTCAACCACACACAGTGTTTTGTATGTTGCCCCAAGAAATTGAATTTTGTTTTTATTTTACCATAGCACCTTCTCCCACATGTTTAATGCATGCAGAAATATCATTAGTTTTCATTATCTGTTAAACTAAGTGAGTGCAAGGCGTTTATAGACATATTCAGCAGAGCTGGGAAGAGAGAGGTAAGTTCAAGTACCTGGGCTTAAAAGCTGCCGATGACTTTGCAGATGTATTTACAAACTGGTGACAAATTGAAATAAATGAATAAATACTTGGAGAACCGTCAATGCAAATATTGCATCATTGCTTCCCAATTCTCTTCAAATCTTTTTGGTTTCTGTTGGAATTGTTTCTGTAAATTAAAAATTCTGACTCCTGATTAAATCTGATATTTCAAATAATAGGGGAGGGAATTTACAAGTTGGTTTATTGTTTATACTGTCGATTACAAAACATTAGCATGGAAAGTCAACTCTACTACTGGACAAATAAAGTGTGCTGTGGTCCCACTTGCACGTCTGAAGGCTGGATGCTGCTGTGCAGGTTTCCTATGCTTGGGGGCAGCTGTTTATCAGCATAGCGAAGATGAATGTTTTTTATTGTAAGGGTTTTTTGTTTAAGCTGCTGAACCCCACCTAAGGCTTTTCCAATTGAAAGAGATATCTTGCTGTGGTAGATTTAAGCGTCAGAGTTTTTTTTTACTGATTTTATGTAAAGCACTTTGAATTGCCCTGTTCCTGAAATATGCTATACAAATAAAGCTGCCTTGCCTTGCCTTGCCTAGAGTACATGATCATATTTCTTTATATATATATATATTTTATAAGGTAAATAAAGGTATAAATAACTGTTTTAAAAAGCTAAAAAAATATATTTAGAATAAATGAAAAGGGTTTCATTGTTTGTTTTTTTCAAATAAAAAGTAAACATTTACCACAGCAGGAACACCTATCTAACATAGGGGGCAATTGTTCAATATACCGTATATAAAAACGTATTTATTTTCATTTCATGCTCATTTAACTTTAATGAATAAACAATATGATATTCTAGAAGATGTCACAGCTGAAAACTGGGTCAAAGTAGAAACCTTTTGTGCAGTCAGAGGATGAGACATTGAAATATTCACAGCTGCATCAGCTTCAACAAAACATTTTGATAATCATTTAAAAGGCTGCGGTATTCCAGTTTTATTATGCTGTAGACTTTTATCCTGTCCGGGTCTCCATGGTCCCCCATGCATTAAGATCATCTGGTATAAATCCTCCAAACTAACCTACATACTGTACCTCAATCACTCTCTCTGCCTCCATCTTTTTTTTTTTCTCAGCCTCACAAACACAATCACACAGGGAACGAGGAAGTAAGGTTGCCATAGGAACGGCTGGTCAGAGTTTACCAGAGGGGAAACAAACAAAGTACTGTTCATGAGAGCAGGTTGTTCTGGGGAGAAGGAGCACTGATCCTCTCAGTGTGAGTGTGCCAGCGTGGGTGTTGTGTCAGGGGTAGTAATGGACTAGATTTGTCTGCGGAACCGGGCTTTCTGGATCTGGTCCTTTCTGTCTTTGCTATCACAATCAGACAATCCTCAAGGTTCTTTCCTGCTCAATATTATATGGTCTGCTACTTTAAACTTTTAAATGAAATGATTATGAGCCCATATGCTAACATAGTTGAAAATGTTGCATTTGTTTGAAATGGGAGGCTAGCGCTCTCACTGTTAGTGGAGTTAAAAATAAATCCTCCAACTGGCTTCTCTTACAGTACTTTACAGCTCACAGCGACTTCTGTGTCTGGAATATAGATCTTCTAATAGTTTCTGTCAACCTGCCTGAGTCTGAAGCTGTAGCAAATTTCCACATCCATTCATTCGCCGTGCATCTCTCAAACTGTCTTTTTAATGTATGTGAGCAAAATGCATTGAAACTCTTGAGCTGCATGGAAACCCATAAAGATGCCAGCCTGCCTTCCAGCTTCCAGTTTCACTGTTTGATGCCCATTTACTGCAGCATTCAGCTGTTTGACTATTTCTTCAGTATATTTTTTGTCTAATCTGACCAAACAAGTCCATTGGCATGGGGTAAAAACACCCCTAACCCCAAATCTCACAGCCCCCCTGCTCCTTCTGCCCTCTCTCTTTTTCCAAGGCTGAAAGATAGGCAGACGTACTGTTTTCTCTTTCTTCGCCTTTCACCCTTTCAAGCCTCCCTCCATCCATCCTGCCTGGACGGGTACAATGCAGGCGTTCAATCCTGCGGCAGGGAGAATGCAGCCCTGAACTAACAATATCACCAAGGCTGCCTGAATGCCACCGAGTCCCATTGTGCTTAGTCAGAGGGGAGTTAACACCCATGTCTGAGCCCAATGAATAGTATTATTGTGTCTGAGACATACACCGCACCCCAGGTCCCCATCCATGTTCCCCAAACTCAAATGGCCTCCACCCCTACCAAACTTGCTTCTCCTGTCCCAACAGTGTACCCCCTGCCATACGCCACAGCGCTCCCATACCCCCTCCGCCCACTACTTAACAGAAAGCCTCCCCAGCCCAGCGACTCCAAACCTCAGCACTTTACTTCTCTATTCCTCTGGCAGTTGGCCCACGGGTTCGAGTCTGTTTTCAAGGCATGCACAGGGGGTGGATCACAGGCCCGTCTCACTCCTCAGTTTGGTAGCAACAGTGGCCAGGATATTTTAGTGATTGTGCAGTTGGTGCTGCATGGTGGGGGTTGAATTTGGCCTTGGCCCTTTTTCTCTAGAGAAGCACAATGGGGCCATGAATCCTCAAATAAATGCCCCCCCCCCCCCCCTCCATCTGCTATTATCATAAGAAGAGGGTTGCTGGACCCGTTTGAATAACTCTAGATGATACAAAAGCTTAGATGTTCTCCTTTTTACATAGTTTCTATAGTGCAAAGCTAGGTTTGCCAAAACATTTCCATTCCATCACACTTATTGTGCCACAAACAAGAAAGTGGCTAGAAAATAATTTCCAGTCAACTTTGAATGCGGTTTTTGTGCTTAATGATAAATGCAGCACCTTTAAAAATATCTATTTATCTGTCTATCTCTCTATTTTACAAAAGAGATGATATATTTTTATATATAATAAAGGAATACATGCATACATATGAATCTGCATTAAAGTTTTTGGCTGCATTGAGACACGATGTGGACAAAATGTTTCCCTTTTTAAGACAATATATAGCTTTTTGCATTGTGCTACAATAACATTTAAATACATCACCTTTAACGTATTTGATTGATGCAGTAGTGATTTTTATAATGGGCCCACTCTCACTATATTCTGCTATCTGCAGCACATTGACTGTAATGACTCGTAGTACGTTGGCTGGCAGTATGTGACTGCCTGACACACTTAACCCTTTGCAGGTTCCAACATCAAAGGTTAGCAGGTTCATATTTCCAGCTGAGAGAGAATGCCAAAAAAATCCTGAAGTTGAGATTAACTTGTTTCTTTCTTTGTCACTGTCTGTGCTTGTCTGTGTACAGCTTGAGTAGAGGAAGAGGAGGAGGAGGCAGTGGAGGAGGAAAAGAGACACAGAGTGGGTGGAAGAATGGAAGGACAGAGGGATGGAAGCAGTTTGAGGAGGTGGTTGGAAGCGGCTGAACCCAGAGCAGGTGAACGTAGCTGTGGATTGCCATGGGCTTTCTGTCGACATCCTCTTGTGGGCCTAGTTGCTCTGCACCGGGATCCCGAAGAAACCAGCAGGAGCCAGCCAAAAGCTGCAGCGAAGTGGGCAGGCTAGGCCAGGCAAGCCAGAGAGGGGCAGGTGAACCGGGTGAGCCAAGCGCTTGTTCCCGTCGGCTAGGAGCTTGCTCTGTAGAGTGGAGCAGCGTGGAGCAGCAAAAATCAATACAGAGGAGAGAGGCAAGCAGAGGTTGCCCAACACTGCCTGCAGGCCTCAGAGCCAAGAGACCAACCACCACCTCTACTCCAAGCTCCTTTCTCCAGCTCTCCTTCTATCTCTCTGCTGGAGACCCAGCACCCGCAAGGGCCAGGGCCCTCACCCCGCAGCTGCCCTAATCTCAGTCTGTTTGGCAGAATATGCACATGTGTATGAAGAAAACAGAAAGAGGCAGAAATCTATTCTTGTCTTTGGTTTAAATGGACATTTTCCAGCTCATCTTTGTTAAACTTTACGAAAGACACAGGGAAATGGTTGAAGGATGGGTTTTTACGTCCTGATGCTTTACCTTCCTGCTCCCATGCTGCTCTTAGTCATTCCACATTCACCTTTTCTTAATGAGAACGCTACATGGGAAGTTACGGCTCAGTGCTGTTTCCAAGCACGTATAGCGCACAGTATTCCTAAGATCTCCTGAGCCCGGATGAAAGGACAATTTGAAGTTTTTTCCTCTCATCTACTGTATCAGGCAGAAGCTGTCTTTTCACCTTAGATTTTCTTACCTGCACAACTGCAGCTCCCATCAGAGGATATGGCAGTGCAGTATTGATCGGAGAGGTGGAAGAGAGAAAGGCGGATCTTTTCCTCACTGTTTGTGTGGCTGAAAGGGGGGATACCTGAAGTACACTTTCATGCTGTGCTGCTAGGATTCAGTGTCAGCACAGGTGAATGACTGCGAATTAAACCAAACTTAAAGTAAAAAGGGACCCCTGGTTTGACAGACACCTTCCTCCTGTGCAAATACAATCATTTGAAGCTTGATTCTTAGTCACCATAAGAAAAATGACAGGAGAGAAACATTCTGCACATGTTTCCTGGAAGAAGAAGCATAAGATTTTATGTTTTTCATGATCTGGATTGATGCTCCTGGGCAAAATGACAGTTTCCCATAAATTACAGAATTAACCTTCAGTTTCACCACTTTTGGTAAGTATGAGTTAAATTATCACTTTTATAGCAGTATTGTACACAGGGTGGATTTTTTTGTCCTAAAAAGTCTGATAATAAAATGCTCCTGGTCTGAATAGGTATGAAAAAAAAGAAAACTGTGTTTGGAATCAAGTTTTTATGACTTAATTCCTTATGTAATTTACTTTAGAAATAACATATTTTGACAAAACATTTTGGATTTTTAAAAAATCCAAAATATTTTTCCAAAAAAGTTAAAAACAATCCGCTGGACTTTGACTCCAAGTTTGATGTCGTTTTTCTTCCCATCCAGGAAGCTTTTTTAAATTCAAATGTTTCAAGATTTTGTTTCATTTCAGAAAAAAAAAAATTTTAAAAGCATGAAATTATCCTATTGGTATTCTTAGCTGTAAGACTCTATAACAGACCACTTATCCTTAAGAAGGTTTTTACCAGTGTGCTTCCTGCAACCTCGATTTAAAGGTTAGTGCAGCCATCTTGGATTTTTGAATATCTGTAACCACAGGTCATCTAACAAGTATTCAATCCAGTTTATAGTTTTAAGGAAAGTTCCAGCTTTGGTCAATGACAGGTGTTGTGGGGAAAAAGTATTCAACTATTCAGTCCAGTTAAAAATAAACAGAGATCAGTTGATTTCACTTTAATTTACTTTGCAAAGTAAAAAGAGAACAAGACATCAGCAGCCCTCACAGCATGATGTTTCTGCTCTGCTCTGAACTTGACAGCATTTGTCTCTCCCTAATTAAAACCCTGCAGAAAAGCTGTGAAGGTCTCCATTAGCTGTAACTTTTCCTCTGGAGGAGTTCTGGACAAAAATACAGACAGTTCTATCTAAAATTCACATTGTTTATATGTGTTTTTACAATATTGGTAGAATTACGGCTCTAAGTAGTCGCTCTGTCAGCTAAAGGCATGTTTTACTGAATTAGTTGAACGTTAATTCAATAATCGATTAATCACAATTATCCGATTAATTGTTCCAGCCCTAATCTCCTCATATCATTACCGGAAAAAACACAGACGGTTGGAAAAAACACATAATGTAGTTAAATAATCCCTAATAAACTGTCTAGTTTGTTATGGGAGCTATTATTCTCCTCTCACTCAGGTATGTTGTGGCCTTGCAGCTCTGAGGCCTGAATAAATTAAACTCTTCACTATATGTAAAATGGAATTAATAGATCAAATTTTTTCCCACCTCACATGTTAGGTGATATGCTGTCTGGTATTAGAGACAGAAAAGCCTTTATACTTCTCAAACCAATAGAATGAAGGCATTACCTGTATTTAGAATTGGGTTGTTATGTCCAAGTGGCAAAAAAATAATATTGTGAAATGTGCCTTTTACCACTGCTGAATTTAAAGCTAAGATTAATCTGCCTTTTTCAGGAAAAGCATGGATTTACTTGGAAATAAACAGCAACACTGTGAAAAAAAATGTCCATCTGCTACCTGAGTGTATTATTATGCTTTTAAAGTGAAAACAGACTCCTTGTGCTGTAGCTGATCTCCTCAGTGAAATCTGGACTGTGATCGTGTGCCCCACAGCCTGTCGGAGAACCTTGTACCAGAAAGGATATGAAAGCTTCATTTCCCCGCCTTCTGCCAATCTCCTGGCACGCAGATAGAGCCTGGCGCCTTTCTAAGCCTCAGCCTGGCAGCGGCCCATGCTTACAAAATGGCCGATTTCTTGTCTGCCAGCTGTCTCCCTGAGCCAAGATGGCGCTTGGTCGGCTTTCTAATGCCCGTTGTTTACCATCTGCCCCGTGGTTGTTAACCGCTATGCAAATATCTTGTAATTGCTTTTAAATGTGCAAGATACTTAACCCCTCCCACTCGGCTGTAAATAATAGTGCAAGTGTAAAAAGGAATAAAAGAAAATGCAACCCCTGGGCGATTGCTGATTAAATACGCAGCGGGAACAATTAGCAAATGAATGTTGTTACTCGCTTTTTATTTTCCTTTAAGCTCGCCTTATTGTGTATGTAAATCACTGATGCTGCTTCATGGCTTTGAATGTTAGCTTGAAAAACACAGAGCAGCTCCTCGTCTCCATCTGAGCAACGCTCCCGTGTCTCCTCATTGTGCCATATGTGTCATGTGTGGTTGGCTGCATCACAAGGGTGCCCTGCCTCCTGTGACAGGCAAAGAGCCCACACTGTAAAGGAGAGGCAGAAGCAGAGGGTGAGGCATAACATAATGACCTCATTAGCATGCTCGGCACTCCTTGCTATAGGCCCTGGTGCTGCGCAGCATCGTGGGACCCACCGGTGAACGCCCTTCTCACAGCACTCAGCATGCAACATTGTGTTCTCTCCACACAATGCAGCACTTCATACAGGCTTTATTACGCCCTGTCAAAGCACGGGGGGATCAGCGGTATCCATACAGGAGAAGCAGGATACAGGCTGCATGCATGGAGCAGGGGATGTCTTGGTGCTTAATGGGTTTTAATGTGGCGTTAGATCCTCCGTAGCAGCTTTTGCGCTCTGACATGTGTGTGTTTATGTTTGTATGGGTGTCTCTGTGGCTTATAGTTAAGTGTATTTATGCAATTGTCTGTTTCATTGTTAGCTCCCGTGGAATTTCTGGCTTCTTTCACCTGTCACTGCTAATTAGTGCCAAGGGCTCATTTGGGGAATTGTCTATGTCCTGAATCCAGGCTATTCCTCCAAGCTAAAGACCTGCTGTTTGGCATCTGTTGTTTGCGTGAAGTAGGATAGCTTTGAATCTCACACAAAGAGGCTTAAAAACACTTATTTCTTTTTTTGTTGCAGCTTTTAAATTTAAAACCATTTATTGACATATTTGTTGAGCTTGCTTTTCCTTTCTATTCCACTTGGCCGGCATTAGCGACTAAGTTGTAAAATTTGCAACTAAAAAAATAGAACATCAACATTTACTCAGTTGTTCTAAACTCGAACAGTCATTATAAAAAAAAAATTAAGTCTAAACCCTTTAAATTTTAAATTTTACAGTTTTTCCTTCTGATTGGGTGTGTTAGGAATGATAATTACTTAGAATAATAATTTTGATTAAATAACGACACAGTATTTTCAGGTTTTTCAACACTTAAAGTAAGATGTGATTATTTACCATCCTTAAAATAGCTGAACTAAAAACAGCTTATTAGGTACTAAATCATACCTAAGCAGAGTTGACTTTCAACCCCTGCTCCCCAAAATCTGCTAAAATTGATACGCTTCCAAAAACTGGAAATAAACTAGACTTAAATGATGCAGAAAAGGTCTTATTAAAAATGTATTATTTTTGCTTTTCTATTTCTATTCATTTATAAACATGATTCAAACCCCTCTTTGATGTGACACAATTTCTAACCATTCAGTATACCACAATTAATTGGTTCCAGAATTACTTAGTTGTATTTAATTGAGGTAACACGTGAGGTAACATGTATGAAGCAAGTAAACTAATGTTCTTCAGTTCTTTATAAGGCCGCCTTGTGAGCTTACAAAGGTCTTTCAAATGAACTTAAGAATTTTAGGTTACTCTGCGATGCAAATGAAAATTGGTGCTCGCTAAGAATACTTCCTTTGATTTATTGGACCACTTTTGTCAGGGAATTAAATTTTAGTTCAATTCAGTTTATTTATATAGCATCAATTCACAACACATGTCATCTCAAGTCACTTTACAGTTCATACAGTCAAAGAGAACGAGCAGGTAATAGCAGGTAATTCTACATCTAAAGAAGTGAGTTGGTTGTTGCCAAAGTCCACACAGATGAAACCATAAGTTATCTTAATGACAGGCAGCTCTATCTTTACATGTTTGTTGCTAATTTAGGACAGGTTTCTAATTTCAGACACGTACGTATACGCTCCAGTTTGGGCTAGGAAGACACAGAAAAACAAGCTCCGGCTTCATAGTTGACTTCAGGCCAAGGTGCGTTTTCTACTGGGTGCTTTTTCTACAAGATAATAACCCAACGCCTACAGTTTTTAACGCTTAACCAGCAGATGTTGGTAGTTGTGACTTGCTAACAAAATGCATATTTGATTTCTCATCAGATTGGTCAAGACGCTGATTTTTATATGTGAGCATATGTTATTTATAAGTTCATAACTTTCACACATAGTACTGTTTACTTTAATTATTGAAATGTAAAATGTGTGAAAAAATTAAATATAAGGTTAAAAAAAGGTAGTGCTGTATATTTTCATCAGAATCCATGTTGTTTCTGGTTTGAGTCAGTCCATGTCTTTCACTGTGTCCGCCTCAACTACAAATATGGCGCTGAGCGGCATAGCAAAAGGGCTCCACGGCGCCATCCACCAGAGTAACGGTGCAGAGGTCGCCCATCTTCCCTAATTGATTTACATAAAAAAAAAAATTGTTTTTTTTATTTCGATATTATGAACTGAAAGATTGATACTATATTGGACAGTCGAAAATCCCTATATATTGCCAAAGCGATTTTTCCCAAACCCCTAGTCTTATTGATTTTAACTTCAGTTCTTAAAATTGTGAAAGCTGGACGTAGCTTGTGCTAACATGCTAAATACCTAAGAATACCAAAGTCACTAACACAAACATTATAATACAGCATAAATGAACTCTCCTGTATATTTTATAGATTTTGTGACTATTTCTAATGTAAGGTGTGATAAAGATCAAACTATTTATACACAGAAACCCTAGAAGTGATAGTGGATTATTCTATTTCTGCCTAAAAATAAAACCCATGCTTCATTTCGTATTTCAAACCAGAATCCCTAATTTTATATAACATTTTCTTGTAAACTAGGCAGCAGATTTTCTTTATCAGCAGACATTTACCTGCCCACAAGTAGACTGCTCGCTCCTTTTATCGCCCTTTCTATCAGAAGCAGAGGTGTTTTAATAAAGCTTCTCAGTCTAATCAGCCCACACTGACACAGATTAATCAGAGGTTGATCCCAGCAGGTTGATGAAAAAGAAACCTGAAAAAGCTCCGGGTCCTATTCGCTGCTTTGCTCGAGTAAAGGGTTGTACAG